TCTTCATGCGGCGAAGCTGGAACACCATGAGCATGAGTGTTATTCAATTAGCCAGTACAAACCTGACTTTATAGACACTATTCCCTGCCTCCGCTGGTAGATATGAGTAGATGCTTCATCATAAAAATACAGACGTGTAAGAGCCAGTGCTTGAGGGAACATTTTTCACTGAAATATTTCTCTCAACATTGTCAGGTTATCGCTGTGATCAAAATTGACCAGAAAAAAATTGTAATTGTCAGTAAATATAGTATACTTAAAATATAAATTAAATACCTACACAGTATTTGTAAGACCCTTAAACAGTTCCACTGAAGATTCTGGCATTAACTATAACACCTTCGTGATGTCATTTTGCGTTTCTCCAAACGCACCCTGCTGTATACGAGTAAGAGCCAGAAGCATAGCGATTAAATATGGGGATGCTAAGATGTTTCCTGGATAAAATGAGAAATTTGACTAAATTTTAAATGATTCTACAAAAACATTAAGTTAACAATATACTCACATAATATAGTGTAAGGAATAACAATGAATTAAGGTTACTAACAACTTAAGTTGCCATTATAGATCACGATCAAAGATAGCGGCGCCTTCCATCTGTGTTAGTTAAATTAAATTGTTTCAAATTTCCGCATTTTAATTATTCAATTTAGTAATCGTAAAGTAATAAAATTTAGTTTATAGTATACCCAGCGTGGCAACTATGGTTAACCTATGCAATAATCTACGACAAATGCCTACATTCAGTAGGTTATATTTAATGAATAGTGAATCAATTTGAATGCAAACCAAACCTAAAACACTTTTCACAACTAATTTCATTATCATCGTCACAGCCCATCTCTAGTCTATTGTTGAAAAATGGCCTACCCGTAAGAATATCGCAAAGCACGATCCTGAGCTACAACATCTTTTTTAATTTTATAAGTGGAAGAGAGACGCTGCTGCTATATTCCTGGTACAGTTGTAGCACGAATGGGTCGGCTCGACCGAGTAAGGACCACGCTCTTACAGAATACCAGCGTAAAGTAGTTGCTTAACGCTGCTGTGTTTCGTATAGTGAGTGTAGCCAACCTGAGCGAGGCATTCCATCTTAGTCCTCACGGGTGACAACGCATCTGCATTTGGATTCGTAATCGAGGATAGATTTAGATGTCTATGGGCCGCAGCAACCACTTACCATCAGGTGGGCTGTGTGCTCGTTTGTCACCCTTATCCTATAAAAATATCCATCGACTTGCTGTATGTGTTACTGGACGTCACTCCATCCAGTGGGGTGTCGTCCCACACTTCGCTTACAGATATGAGGCTGCCATTCGAGAACCTTTTTCCTTACTGGCAGTGGGTACTTCGAGCTACATGAGCCATTATCACTTCAGCTTCTTCAGCAAGTTAACTTCGTTACTTCGGGAATCGACTCCAATTTTAAATTCCATTTATCTATTTAACATTTTATTGACATGGAGAATACTTGGAATACCTTTAAAAAGTAATATTTTGAAGAAACCTTAAGGTAATATTTTTTTTTACTTTAACAAGCCTTTACCTTTAACAATTTTAAGCCAAAGCTGGTTATAGCGAAAGTTTTATTATCGAAATTTGTATTTTGGCTCAATTTACTTGTATCGCCCTCGCCTAATTTGGATGAAATGTCTTTATCTATAGTTATTTCAGCTATTGTGGTTCTCGTACCATCACTATGTATATTGTCTTCGCTATAAATCTTCTGATCTAGTTGCACTGTGAGTTGGTAAATCGGTTGTTGTGTTTGTATTTGTGGTTGACCGTATGACACTTTGTTATTAGTTTGAAATCTGTTGTCAACTAACCTTTTTATTAAACAATAAACGTTCAGCAGTGTTATTGTCATATATAAGATGATAACAATGAGAAACACATTAAATACGATGTTTTTACTTACGTTTTAATGTCATTGTAATAGCTCTGTTTACAAATACAAATCGTCACATAGCTACACAACGCCGATGCGCACTGCTACTAACTTCCTTTATAAAATAATTATGACTACAATCGTTCAGCAGTGTTATTAAAGTATATATAAGATGATAACAATGAGAAAACACATTAAATACGATGTTTTTACTTACGTTATTAATGTCATTGTAATAGCTCTTTTACAAATATAAATCTCAGCATAGCTACACAACGCCGATGCGCACTGCTACTAACTTCCTTTATAAAAAATAATGACTACAATCGTTCAGCAGTGTTATTGTATATATAAGATGATAACAATGAGAAAACACATTAAATACGATGTTTTTACTTACGTTTTAATGTCATTGTAATAGCTCTGTTTACAAATATAAATCTCACATAGCTACACAACGCCGATGCGCACTGCTAATAACTTCCTTTATAAAATAATTATGACTACAATCGTTCAGCAGTGTTATTGTATATATAAGATGATAACAATGAGAAAACACATTAAATACGATGTTTTTACTTACGTTTTAATGTCATTGTAATAGCTCTGTTTACAAATATAAATCTCACATAGCTACACAACGCCGATGCGCACTGCTACTAACTTCCTTTATAAAATAATTATGACTACAATCGTTCAGCAGTGTTATTGTATATATAAGATGATAACAATGAGAAAACACATTAAATACGATGTTTTTACTTACGTTTTAATGTCATTGTAATAGCTCTGTTTACAAATATAAATCTCACATAGCTACACAACGCCGATGCGCACTGCTACTAACTTCCTTTATAAAATAATTATGACTACAATCGTTCAGCAGTGTTATTGTATATATAAGATGATAACAATGAGAAAACACATTAAATACGATGTTTTTACTTACGTTTTAATGTCATTGTAATAGCTCTGTTTACAAATATAAATCTCACATAGCTACACAACGCCGATGCGCACTGCTACTAACTTCCTTTATAAAATAATTATGACTACAATCGTTCAGCAGTGTTATTGTATATATAAGATGATAACAATGAGAAAACACATTAAATACGATGTTTTTACTTACGTTTTAATGTCATTGTAATAGCTCTGTTTACAAATATAAATCTCACATAGCTACACAACGCCGATGCGCACTGCTACTAACTTCCTTTATAAAATAATTATGACTACAATCGCCACAGTTCTCAGCTTTATTGAAATCAAAATATATTCAAGAGAAAATAAATTTTGTTACATAGTAATAAAACTGCTTTTCCTTCAGAACAGTAACCTCAGTTGATAGTAGACATAATATCTGGTTTTGGTTTTTCCACAGCAGCCGGTTTTTTATTTACCTCATGTGTACATAATATCTTGAATATATGTAGATTTATATTAATAATAAGTAAATAGTTACGTGTAATTGCTATTAATAATATTCGCGTTTACAGTTTACAAAGTAAAATTACAGCCTAGAAGTCCCACCGCTGGGCACAGGGCTCTCATTTCTAAACAGGTTTATGGAGCAATTCGTCGGCCGCGTCACCTCATTGCGTGTTGGCGAACTTCACACTTATTAACGTGGTAGAGCCATGCTACAGCTATATTGTGGTTGCAGCACGAATGGGTCGGCTCGACCGGGGCAGGACCACGCTGTCACAGAATACCAGCTCAAAATAGCAGCTTAACGGTGCTGTGTATCATATGGTGAGTGTAGAGAACCGAAAAACCTTTTTATTGGAAACGTGGCATTCCATCTCAGTCCTCAAGACTGGCAAAAAAATCCGCATTTTGATTTTAAATTGAAGATAAATTTAGATTTCTGTGGGCCACAGCATCCACTTAACATCACGTGGACTGTGTGCTCGTTTGTAACGATTACCTATACTATAAAAAAATGTTTGTACTCGAAACATTTTATCCCTTACACATGCAGGTTTGCTCACGATATTTTCTTTCACCATCGAGCGCTACGTGAATCAGATCTTAAAATGTCGTTTAACGAAATTATTGCGGCACCAAAGCAGAGCGAATTGCTCGCGTATTTTAAAATTTACGGCGAGCACTTAGCCTCTGAGCTTACACAGCTTCAGTTATTACCTACTAAATTTGTTGTACAATCTCATTACAAAATCATTCCGTGAATAAAAAAAATTAAAATCATACATTTTTGTTGCATATCAGGTGAAATTGTAATTAAGCTCTATAGTCTCACGCTATTGCTTGGGTATCCATTCTGTTTTTTCAAAAATTTGGGATAGGGCAATGGAACACTAGTGCCCTATAGCTGACTGACTTCCTTGAGAAGGAGGGATTCTATAAGACTATACGTGGATATATATATATATATATATATATATATATATATATATATATATGTATATATATATAACTATGCTACAGCTACGTTAATAGTATAGTTGTAGCAAAAATGGGTTGGCTCAACCGGGGAAGGACCACGCTCTCACAGAAAACCTACCGTGAAATAATAGCTTAATGCTTCTGTGTTTAGTAAAGTGAGTGTAAAGAACCAGAGATCCTTTTTACTGGAAAAGAGGCATTTCATCTTAGTCCTCACGGCTGACAACACATCTGCATTTTGATTCGCATATCGCAGCAACCACTTACCATCAAGTGGACTGTCTGCTCGCTTGTCACCCTTTTCCTATAAAAAAGGCCGATGGCGCGTGCTTAGTGAGTCACTAGACATACTGAATATTAATGTTAAGTTGGAGAGGTTTTTGCTGGTGGAATAAGAATATCTGTGTGATGGAAGGATAAGGGAATTCGTGAACCTATTTTGCTTCGTGAGTGTCGTAAGTGGCGAGTATAGGAATCACCAGAAAGAAAGCTTTCGAAAAATACACAGCAATGAAATTAACTCGTTTAATCCAGACGTAAATTACTCACACCGATGATATTAACATTTAGAAAATTACGACGGTCACGACCATAGAATACAATAATATATACATAAAAAACACTATACTATAACATTTCATTAAATATTCCAAAATTTTAACAAGTAGTTTTTGCACGTTATAGCGAGAATTTTTCCTCAATTCCTTGTACACTGGACTTCCGAAACTTCGAGGTCGTATGCGCATTTTACGATCTTTTGTGCTATAAAATGGGGGCCAGTTCCAAAAATTTCCATTGGCGCCTTGTACTCGTTAGATTTCGACACGATACGCACCGCTGTACGCAATGTTGAGCAAATGGAATACATATCCGTCGTCTTATTTTTTGCTGCTTTGAATCTGAAAATATTTTATAGTTGAATTATTTCGTTATAAAAAAATTATATATAAAAAAAATTCCAGCCTATATAAGTCCCGCTGATGTACACAGTCCACCCCTCATTTTATAAGGCAGGGAAGTGTCCGCCGCGCTGCCCCAACGTGTATTGGCAAACTTCACATGTCTTCGATACTTCGAAGAATTTTGAAGTTAAAGAAAGTATAGGGGAACTAAATGAAGTGCAATTATATAACCTTCAGAATATTATTAAAAATCACGTTATTCATTGACAGACACTTAACATCGTGGCAACCCCTTGCCAGACACCCTTAATGCTCATGAGATTGTAATTTTACTTACGTTATACTATAAAAGCTGATTTTTATATAAAATACTTGCGTACTAAGTAAATGATGATCCCTCGTTAGCTAGACATTTTTGATAGCTCCAACCCCTTGTCAGACAAACATGTAGGGTAGCTGTAGGAGCGAGCGCGAGGCAGTATGTATATAGGTGGGTGCGAGTGAGATAGCGAGTTAAGTCTACCGCGATCCCTCACTGCTAGAAATGGCGTTAATGGTTAAATTTATTTATTTGTTAAAAGTTACTTGTTAATTTTTTTAGCAGATAAAATTAACAGTTAAATAAAAAAAAACAGTGCTGCACAGTGGCGAATGTAGTGGCCAATAACATTGGCCAACGTGTAGAGCGGGTGTTTGGGCTTCATTGGTATGTATTGGAACGATGGCCCACAAGTTGGCGCGAGATCCGTGTGGTGTCTGTTTTTTTACAAAGGATCAAAGGATTGTTGGCAGAGTTTGGTCGCCGCGTCCACACGTTGGGCGCGCCTATGTCTGGCTAACGAGAGATCATCATTTACTTAGTACGCAAGTATTTTATATAAAAATCAGCTTTTATAGTATAACGTAAGTAAAATTACAATTTTATGAGCATTAAGGGTGTCTGGCAAGGGGTTGCCACGATGTTAAGTGTCTGGCAATGAATAATATTATTTGACGAATTTCGATCGGTATTTTACACACCTTTAGTACCATTTACCTGCCAAAGCCACTGTAACCCAACCTTCATAATGGTCCATCGTTCTTACCTGTGTTGCGAGCATGCGCTGACAAACTATCAGCTTTTATAAAATAACGAGGGTCTGGGGTTCACGGGCTCTTACTCTTATTGAGTTGCCTAGTACAGTGGCCGCCTCAAAGCACTAAGCAAAGCAATACAAATTCAAAGCAAATTCTGAGTTCTATAGTCGCCGTCAGTTTGACTTCTAAGGATGATGTTAAGGAAAATTATCCCGATCTCCAACAGTTTACGTATTGATGAGGAATATGATTGGGTTTGCCAACCGTCCCGAGTTTTTCAGGACATCCCGCATCTAGACATAATCTCAGCCTTCCCTACAAGTGTCTTTGTGGCCTTATGCCTCGGATATCATTGAATCATATGTCTTTAGACAATACGTGGTCTTTCTGACACCAAAGCTCAAGGACTAGGGACGACAAATGAATAGGAAAGAAGCTGTGACCTCATCACTACATTCTCGTTACTGGTATAAAGTCTATTACAATTTAACCTTACAAATTTGTAAGGTGAAATTGTAATATATACGTATATTCCCCATGTAGTGGTGGCGTGAGAGTCCACTCCTCCGAATCGTGCGCTAGGTAACGTAAGAGACGGTAGAAGAAAACGGAAACAGGAAATGGGCAGCAGCATCTTACTGATAACAACTCCAAATCATAAACAACTGCGATTGCCAAACCGCCTTACTAGCGTGGCAACTATGGCAAAATCCTCTATATGAGATATTCTATAAGCGAGACATATGTTTAGCAGTAGAATTTTATAGTCTGTAGTGGATGGACTGATGGATTTGACCTTTTAATTTTGTATGACGTGTATTAAGTGATAATGAAACTTCGCCTGCAAAAAATACCACAAACTTTATCTGGATCAATTTTAACAAAATCATAGTTAAATCGATTTCACCTTTCGCATTTCATACTGATTAGTGTGTCGCACAACTTAAAAAATCTTCTAGCAAATGACTTGCATAGTTAGCAAGCTTTAATATCATGGTATAAGGTTTTTATAATTATAAAAAAAGTTTTATAAATAATGTTACTCACACTGGACACGTCTCAAGACGCAGCATCAAGTCCCATTTCCCCAGCAGCAGTAAGGCGTCTTGTAAGCAAGCAGCTGCTATTACTGACGGTAACTCATTGCAGAGTGTTTTATTTACCATTAAACCGCATAAGCAGAGAAAGACCGCTGCTATTTCAATTTCATCGGGATGAGCGTCATCTAACCACCAGGACAAGTAAGTTATATAATCTTGAGGTACAACTGGTTGCGATGGAAATTTCTGGAAAAATGTGTTGAAAATAATATATAAAATTTGTGCACGCTATTAAAACTATTTTGATTCGTGTGTCGCTATCACTACTCTACAGTTAATCACAAATCTAATACATAACTTGACCACCCCGAAAGTACCAGCATCCATCGAGGCATAATTACATGTTTCATCAGGTTGTGTCACGCCTTCTATTGGCTCGGAGTCCGAGGCTGCCACTCAATGAACTTTATTCTCTACCAATTGTATCATGCAATCACATACAACTGGACAATTAAATACACACAAAAGAAAGAAAACTTAAAATCGAATTTCAAAGAAATTTGTAATAATTGCTCGCTATTATAGCGTGGCAATTAATGCAAATAAATAATTACATGTTAATATAAAACTATTTATATATATCCTAATAATTACTTCTTCATCAGCCCTTAAAAGTTCACTGTTAAACATGGGAACTTTCTCACATTGTTGGCGATATTATTCGCCATACTTAATCGTCACGCTTAGTACGCGAATTGACGATGGCAGTACCAGATGTCTCGCGCCTTTGACGTTGATCCACTTCGCCTAAGTATTTTATGTTTTACATAAATGAGATTGTTTTCCACCATAGCCATAAGCCATAAGATATCTCCAGGATTTCATACAGTCGCCTCATATATCACTCACAGGTGGAAAATATATAGTCGCCTCTTGCACCAACCACAGGTCGTAAGTAAAATTATTAAAGTAGAAGTTTAAATTAAAGTAGTTACTGTGACATACCAATTTCATTAAGATCGCCTCTTCGGCCCTCAATAATTGTGTTTTACTAAAGGCTCCGTTTGCAAATTTAATAAGCATAGAAGCGGAGGCCACCGGTCCATGAATTTTCTGAGCGATCCAGAAGCAAGCGGCTGCAACCTGCTGCAACTGCTCCGGCCAAACGCTACAGATGCTCAAGACCGAGTCTAGATACCAGGATGCTGTCTGGATCACCGCTGGATTGCCATCAGATCCCTTTAAACAGAAATAGGAAATTATTTATAAACTAGCGATTGTTGAATCTTGACAACATTATTATATTATTTAAATAACAGCACGAGGGGGATGGAGCACTGACTTCATTAGATGAGGTCTTTCAAACTTCACGTTTAAGTTCAGTGTCCCTCTCACCATTCGGTGATCGCTGCCAGTTTTCACCCTTGTGATCACTGTGTCATCACTGAACAGTTGTCATCTGATTTAAATAAAATTAGTTTTAACGTATTTTATCGCATATCTTAACTTATTTTATATTCCTGACGTTTCGAGTACTTTACAGCACCTATGGTCATGGAGGGAATGAGGTGTTCGAGTGTCTGAGCGTTTGTACGACACTCACAATACCTTTAGATAAAGTAACTGCATTGTTAGACCATCTTAACTCCGTACATTCTAAAATTCATTTCACAGAGGAGTTAGTGCCAAACAATTCTTTAGCTTTTTTAGATGTGCTTGTAATTCGAAACCCTGATGACACCTTAAGCCACACTGTGTATAGAAGAAATACACATACAGAAAGACATTTAAACGGTGATTCTTCTCCACAGTTAGCTAACGTGGGTAAATCTTTGTTTCAGAGAGCACAAAGGATCTGGGACAGTAAACACCTGGCTAACACGTCAAGCAAGTTTTGTATGACAAGATGCTTAGAGTCCCACACCTATGTCACAGTGGACGAGTGAAGCTGGCCACAGTCGAGCGTGTACCTGCTGTACTGCCATATGTTAGAGGTATCATTGCAAAGACTGGCTACATCTTTAAGCGTGCTTCCATTAAAACATACTTCAAGCCGCTGAAGAATATTAGTCTGTTCTTACCATCAGTCAAGTGTAATGTCCCTATGCAAGAAGCAGGAGTGGTTGATTTTGAATGTGATCTCTCTTACATAGGACAAACAAAAATATCAATAAAAACCCGTGTTAAAGAACACGTAGCTGATGTGCAGAATCGACGCTCCGGGAAGTCTGCAGTCTATGAACACGTACAGGTACAGTACAGTCACTATATCAGATTTGATAGATCACAAATCCTCGTTAAAGAACACAGATCCCTACCGAAGATGATTTGTGTGGCTATTGAAATCAAAATACATCCTAATTTCAATAGAATAGATGGCTGGGTGCTACCATCTGCTTGGGATCCTATAATAAGGTATTACACCCATTTTCAAAAAGTGGTTTAAATGAATCCTAAAGTGAAAATGAACTGCTATAATTTTTATAGTGTCATAAAAATTACTTTTAACCTATCGTTTTAAATTTTCACGTGAAAACGCTGGCTGCCATGCTGTTGAACTCATGACATCACTGCCCTAGAAATTTGCCAATTTTGGATGTTTAATAATGAGTTATCATCTTTATCACTGGTGTGATGTGCCAGAATGAAAAAATACGATCATAAGAATGTCGGATATGGATTCAAGTGCCAACTGATTTAAATATGAGAAATACTTAGTTAAAACTGACAAGAAGATACCCGAATACATTCTCTACTAAAACTAGACTATATTTCTATGAAGATTATTAGATGGAAGTATGACTTATATTTAACTATTGTTTATACACAACGATACATCATGAGGTTATAGGTATTCTAAGTCAAGACAGTAGTAGATATTATAACTAATGATTGCTAATGATTGTAATCGTAGATAAACATAGCTATGTATTACCAAAATACACTTTGACCTGGTATTGTGTTAATGTATAAACAAAAGTTGGTCACAGGTATGTACATTGGTGTGAGTTTTAGCACTCCTCAACACAGCAGAACAAAAATCAGGATTACATGCAAAAAATTTTGCCACTATCAATGTATTTATTTACCTTGGTAGATTTATACTTTCTGCTTCTACGAATCCGTCTTCCATGATGCCTTTTCAATAAAATGCGGAATAAAACTCAACAATCGTAATGATAACTTGAAAATTTTCGAAATAACACAGCACATTACCTAATTCTCTTAACGAGTGACGTCACGAGGGTTTTAATTGCTGACGGACAGCGTTATGCAGATTTGAGGCACAGATAAAAAATTATTCTTAAAATTGAAGGATAAAGTATAAAAGAAATCAATATTTCTCATTTATTTTTTGCAAAGTCTATTATAAATTCATAAATATAAATTCATAATAGGTATATGTTTATTGATTTGTTTAACATGGTGTAAAATACCCTATTATTAAAATTAAACCACAACCTAAACAACTACAAGATACTATAAGTTCATACTGTGTAGATCAGAAAAAAATTAATAATTTTAACCTCGAGGTAACCGTAGTTAACGGTGACATTGGGACGTCGAACACCTTAGCCAGCCATAAAATATGTGCTATAAACTAGGTGCCATAGGTGCTATAAAATACTCAAAACGTCGTGAATATAAAATACGTTAAATTACGGCAAAATAATATAGCCTTTAAGGCAAGATATGGAATTTCATTGAAATAAAAAATCCAGTGGAGGGTTCTATTAACTTCGGCTCACATTCATTTTATTACTTACACATTCATTTACATAATATTGAAATATGTACAAAATTAAAAAAAAACAATAAAGAACTAAAAACTTAAATTATCATACAGTCCTACTCCCCGTGGAATAGTGCCAAGAACGCTGTCTGCATTTTTTGCTGAATAGCTATATTAGCCTTTAAGCGAGAAGCCTTTAGGAAGCTTTATCTTATCATTTTACTACTTGATCCGATGTTAGAAAAATACCTGTTGAATATCTTTTGAATTTACGAATAAAACCTACAAATAAATTAAATAAGTTAAGTATAAGTTCATTACATTAACTGAGCAAGTAGTGAGGTGTAAGAATATCCACTACCCGTATCGTATATGTACCCATATGGTATGGTCTGAGTAAAACTTCCTGAGCGGACAACGTCGCGGGCACAGATAGTTATAAATAAACTTGTAAGCTTAAAAAAAACTCCAGAATTTCTTGCCAGTTCTTATTGCTAAGGTCTTATTTTTGTGAACCAGTGTAGATTCTGCCGTTCATAAGGACTATAAACAAGTGTAAAATGTCTTCATCCACCATCCACTTTGAAATAAAATATACGGACCGGAGACTGGGAGCAGTTTGATGGTGGTGTTGTATGATGATCCCGAAATCAACAAGCTTGGTAATTGAGGCAAATGATTACGTTACTACGATAGAACCCAATGCCCAGCTGTGGGCACTTTACCGGCTTATCAATACATACTTTTTATAAAATAGCTGCTTACCTCTACCTACCTAGCAAGGCGAGTACAATGCACCCCTAATTAAGGAAATAGTATACAGTATATTATTCCCTTAATATCAAAAATTCCAAATACATGTGTTCAATATTAATTTACTTGAAATATTTTTATTTTATGTCAAAGGTTTTTTAGAGAATAATAGTGACAAACGCGCACGCAGTCCAACTGATGGTAAGTGGATCCTGGATCCTATGGGTCATAGATACCCACATCTATCCTCAAGTAAGAATCAAATTGTTTATGCGTTGCTATTTCTTAGGACTATGGTATCATTCCTAGCAAAATGGATCTTCAGTTTTTTATTCCCATCATACAAAACACAGCAGCATTAAGCTGCTATTATATGCTGTGTTTTGTAGGCAAGTCCTCCCACAAACAAGAAAATTACACACAAAAATTATTTGATTTTAGGAAATGTCAAATTAGTACTTACGTTAATTCTTAATAACCAATTAAGGAGACGTGCACGAGTGATGCTGGGTATTCTCGGCACGGATACAGGTCTTTCAATACTTAGTAAATGAGCGAACAGATCATTGACATAATCACTCTCGATGCAATTCGTGTATGACTCCTCAACTGCAAAGAGAAAGAAAATATTTTTAGGAAAATTGTCCGTAAGTCTCTGAGAAATAAGACCTTTCTTAAAAGAAGCTCTTTGCTACAGTGCGTATATATATTCTATATAGTTTTAAGATTCTGTGATACAACTTCTTATATATAAGCTATCACGCTGCAGTATTCAAGGACCGTTCTTAGAACTTCTTAAGAGTTATCATCAAAATCGTTATACCAAGGTCAAAATATATAACCAGACAGGTGATATGTTTGCGACTGAATGCGGCACAGCACAAGGTTCAATACTGGGTCCGACTGAGTACTTGCTATTTGTTAACGATGTGGTAAATGCAATAATTAAGGGCTACACATATCAATTTGCCGACGACACTTGTATCGTCATTGCCAATCGTAGTATGGATGTAGCACAAACTGAAATGCAGGAAAGTTACGACATGCTATGTAAGTGGGCACATGATGTCAGTATAGTGGTTAACGCTCAAAAAACAAAACTTGTTCACATACACTCATCTCACAACAAAGTTGCCACCGCACCGATTATCATTTCCCACAGCCATGAATGTCTCCATGGAATACTTCAACACTGTAATTGTCAACCCATTGAAAATGTCAAAAATCACATGTATGTGGTCTGATTATTGATGAACAACTTTGCTGGAGAGTACATAAAGATCACGTGTGTGCAAAACTTCGCTCTGTGTTGAGTAAGCTTTATGTTTTAAAATTTAAGCTACCATATAAAATACTTAGATTACTTTATATGGCTCTAGCAGATTCCGTCATTAGTTATGGACTTAGCAGTTATGGTAGAACTTATGTAACGTACATACAGGAAATTTATACATTACAACGCAAGATGCTTCGATGGAATGTGCCTAATCATATAAGTACATAGATAATGACCAGGGCCTTTTTAAATATTGCAGTCATAAATGTTTTCGATAAAGTTAAATTTAATATACTGACGGAAGTTAATAATTCAGAATATCTACTTCTTAAATAACGACCTGTAAATCTACGAAATATAGCTTATAAATCCAACATGTATGTACTTCCGAAAACTAAAAATTTCTATGGAGCAAGAAAGTCCGCCCATCTTGTACCTTTTTTTTATTAATGAATTGCCAATAGAATTACAAGAAACTTACGGTAATCCAAACTGTTTAAAAGGAAACTTAAATCATATTTGTTAAATCAACCATACTAATTACAAGGTTGGAATAATGTGATTAAATATTAATACATCTTTGTTTATAGACGACTCGCTAGCGTAGATAAACCTCTCTAGTATATACACAGTAATCTATGTATAAACCAGTATAAACCCCTAGACCCCTAGAGGTTTATATGCTAGAATTGTACTGGATAATGTAACAATATTATGGATAATAAATTAAAAAAAAATAATAATACAGCTTTGGTCAAGGCACGAAAAATTTAATCAAGTACCAACATTTCTAATAGTAGACTAATATGGTTTTTTTATAGGAGAGGTGGCAAACGAGCATACGGCTGACTTGATGGTAAGTGAGTACCACCGCCCATGAACAGCTGCAACACCAGGGGGATTGCAGATGCGTTGCCGGCCTTTTAAAAAGAAATAGGCTATTTTCTTGAAGGTCCCTAAGTCGTATCGGTTCGGAAAAATCTCTGGTGGTAGTTGATTCCACAAGGAAGTTGTGCGAGGAAAAAAACTTCTTTTAAATCGCTTAGTGGTGGACCGCCAGTCATCCAGATGGTATGGATGGTGTCGCGAGTTTGCGCGATGCGATAAAATACCCAAAGAGACGCAACATCTCTTCGCAGTGCCAGTGAGTCAAGCCGTATGTTATAAGTAATATTCTAAATATTTACGAATGAATTTTTACTCATAAAAAAAAACGGTAGAATATTAAAGGAGCATCTAAATGCCCAATTAGGTAACAAGTCTTCCCTGACTATTGAGCACGTATTGCAGCGGAAAGGAAACGTAGCTCTAGTTCATTTTAAAGTAAATCATATATTTTCGATATACCTAATTTTTCCAGATTAGGCTTTCTTTCAATGCTGAGCACGTGATAAATTAGTATGTTAGCCTGCTAATATGCCGGCACCGATTCAAACTTCAATGTCCAGGTAAAATCAGCAGAATGAATGAAATATTACAGAATTATTTTTTTAAACGGTAGTTGATAATATTCTTAAGCGAGAATTAAAAAGAAACCTTTTTTAATACATGTCTTTATTGAGATTTTATAAACATTTAAAGATTCATAACTCCGAAAATATAAACTTGATCGTAAAAATTCATGGGACATTTTTATTCATATTTTATCAAAGAATATAAATAAAATATATTTTTTATATTTTATTCTTTTTCTTTATATATTTTAATGGGTTAAAATTATCTGAATTCTGGACTTTTTAAACCGTTCAAAATTGATAACTCCGAAAATATTAACTTCATCGTAAAAAGTCATAAGCCCTGTTTTATTTGTATTTCATTAAAAAATATAAAAAATTGTCCCGTTCGAAAATAAAAAATCCTGGCAATTGGAAAAAATTAAAGGGAATCGCATAAAAAATTTGAAGTGGAATCGTTTTCGGTACTCATACGCCGATTCCTCCCGGACTAATTTCGTCATATAAGCAATTTCAGCTTTGTAAAAACGGGAGTGCAACTGCCTGATTGAATTCGCCTTGCCATCTCAGTTAACGACGCCCGTATATGAATAATATGACATGTAGGTACTTACGAATATCCGGCAACTGCAATCTATTATTTAAACGCTCGTTGAATGTTAAACGTCGTTTGCATTTTTCTTCCCCTTTTTTCTCTGGATGTACCACCGGTGAAAGACCTTGTAACTCTCCACTGTGCGATGTTTTCAAATTTTTTTTTATATTCCTCACCCTATTCGGTTCAAGAGGTGATTTATGTAATGGAGTAGCCGCCCTAATAGCTTCACCGACACCATTTTTCTGTTTATTTTCATTAAAATAATTGTATTCTTTCTTTTCACTCTCAATGAAACTTTCTTCCTCGTCACTTATAGAAATTATACTACAGTCTTTGTTTCCTTCGTCTTTAATAACTTTATAGTCCCAATCCAAGTCTTCGTTTTTTTGTCCAAAAGTAACGTATTTTGAGTCAATTTCATATGTACTTCTAGTCTTATTTGATACTGCTTTACTGTGTTCCGTGCTAGATCCAGCTGGCAAACCTGATAAGCTATTAACGGTTTTTAGTGGAATTCTATTATCTTCCCTTACTTCTTGAATTTCTTGAACTTCTTGAATTTTCTTGAGTAATAGTTTTTTAGGTAAGGCTGATATATTTTCTTTATCCATGTCTATATAACACTTGTTTTAACCGTTTTTACTACACTTATTTTTATTTACACGCCCCGCACGACCGTTAACATAAGATAGTTACCTTCTAGAAAAAATAAATCTTCAACCATCTACCCACACTAACAACTTATAACCTTATTTTTTATTAATTAAAATTTTGGAATTGGGATGCTTGTTCTTTAAGCCATGTCTTCATTTTATTCGGGATCTTCGTCTTTATAGATTTTTTTTTCACAATATGCTGATGCATCACATTGCTCAGCTCAGCTCAATCCACCGAACAGTCGATGGCGACAGTAATTCAAGTTCATAAGGCACCTAAGCGATCAAAATAACTTGAAATTTATATCAACATCAAAACATTTGTTTCGTCGTTTTCTCTAATAGTTTACATTCGCAGACACTTTGTGTTGACGATGCGTGAGCTCAGTGGGGGCTAGGAAAGATGGCCGCTTAGCTGAAAACAAAGAGATTCACGCCCGGCCATCATGCAATCATGACTTGAACAAAAGGTGCACCTGCCGCCATACTGTACGTCGCTGCATGGATGAAGCCATGTAATTGGTCATCTGCCCATAATCAAGTCATTTTATTTCTGTGCTGCGTTCTAGCGTACTTGAAACTTGAAAGTGTACTTGTGTAGTCAACACAATAATCTTTGATTGTTGTATGTGTCCAAATTCATATCTTCATAAAATCATAGTTTATACGTAAGTTATTTCGCGTATTTTAGACAACATAATGACATCACTTCGACTTCAAGCCAATTTCGTTCCACGCTTGCATAATGAAATTGCGGTTTTCATTAAAATCGATTCTGTATATTTTATATATGTAATCAAAATATGGTAAAAGTGTAAAAAGACACGATTGTGGCAATACGAAGTAATTTTAACAAGTTTCTTACAGTGTGAACTGTGAACACTAATAAGCTAGGACCTTAACTGCCTGTGTTTAACGATTAGGTATTGTTGAGTTAAATAACTTGCATAACTTGCGCTAGTCAGGAAGAACAGAAATATATAATGTTGTCGATGACTCCGTGGCGCAGTGGTTTAGCAATGAGTGGCTGCGCTGGGGGTCGCGGGTTCGGATCCCGCACGGAACAAGTATTTGTATGTCCTTGTTTATGCCAAGTTGTGGCATTTGAAGCTTGCAAGGCGCGTCCCGGGTGAGGAACCGGTTAGCGGCTTGCGAGGGGGGTTTGCGTCTTGCGCCGGTGACCGCGAGTGGCAGTCGGCAGGAATCTTTTGAGCGCTGAAGCCGCGCCGGTGGGGGTCGCGAAATTAGACTAGAACATTCGATTTGCGCGACTCCCGGGTCGTTTAGAGGTCGCGAGTTTTTTGATAACGATTACGGCGTCGAAAAAAGACGGCCTCCATGGTGTGGTACTTTGTCGTTAATATAGGTGACAACGAGGCTTTTGAATTATTGAATTAACTTAGATTGCTATTAATTTGCATCGACGGGTGGCTCGTATAGTTAATATTGTAAGAAGGAATTTTACTTTGGTCGCGTGGGACGCTAAACTTTGTAATCCGGAGGAGATCGCGTTCCCTCCGATTATATTTGTGCTAAGTGACGTTGGACTTTAGTTCCGATAGCAGCTAACGCCCTCTGGATTGATTGCACAAGAGAAGCTGGGCAGTGCATGCGGTTCTGCTATCTGATTATATCGGTGACGTCAGGTTACATTATCCTCTCAACTGCGGATGTCCAAGACTTGGACACGAAAATATCTCCGTTGACTGCGGGCGTCCAAGTGTTAGACATTTTTTACCCGCTCTTTTAATGAAGAAACAAAGCATTATGCGCTATTTCTACCTCATTCTACCATATGTCAATGTGTACAGGATAAAAAAGGCTAGCATACAAACCCCACAGCTTATACACTTTAGTAGTATATTTTATTTAAATTATTCTTAAATGTCGTCCGTTCCTTGAGTCAGCCATTAGTGTGATTGACGTGCGCTAACAACGAAGTTGTTTTAATTATTTTGTATTAATTTATATTTATTGTGTGGTGAATTGTGTTAAAACAATGCCTGGGTAAGTAATCTTCTTATTTGTAATCTCATTTTGTGTTTTATCTTATTAAGTACGTGTAAAATCGTTTTTTAATATGTATGAAGCAAACTGCTAACTTAAAACTAACATGCTGGTTGACGAGAGTTGACTTGAAATGTACGTAAAATTTTAGTGTTGACTGTCAGTTTTGTGTTAAAATATGTATAATTGTTCATCGTTCACAGTTTTAGTACATCAAAATGTGGATAAAGTGCAATATTTTCAAAATTTTAATGTATATACGCAATAGGTGCAATAGTGTCCATTTTTGAGACGTCCGTAGAAGTGAATTCTAGTTCTCTTTTTTTGCGGGTGGCGAAAAAAGGAACTAAAGTTTGCCATACTGCATCAAGTTCAAATTCGGTTGAATGGTTAGAATGGTAAAGAATCTAGCGCCCTCGAGCAGAGAAATGGAGCTTAGTTGACTCCACGATTATTCGATGATTTATAAAAAATTGAATGTGGCATTTGGATATGTCATGTATGTTAACACAAGACTTCGGAATTTTTTAAACAATTTATTGAAACAGAAAGTTAGATAGTACTTACATGATATGCTTTAATATTTTTTTAATATTTTTTAATATTTAATATTTGAAATTTTTATTTTTTTAATTTATTATGAACAGGTTGTGGTTTTTAAGGTCACCTCAGACACATATTTCTTATACTGGTTTTTTTAATGTACATTTTATCTGTATTTACTTTGCAAATCGTGTAACGTTGCGTTATGTTTCAACCTATAGCAAGATTGCTGCTACCTACAGTACTATTCGTAAATCAATTGTACTGTAGATACAGTAAATCCAACAAGTACCAGGAGCCTTTTAAAGAAATAAGTACCTATGTTATATATTTATTCAATTTTATACTTATGTCCATCCATCCATTTAGTTTTTATTGTTGCCTAGCTATAATTTGTTCAGCTAATTATTTCAGACTATCATCGTCGAAATTGTTAAGTTAGTTAAGTTACACAGCCGATTTCCGTCCCACTGTTGGGCATTCCCTCACTTCTGAAAGAGTTTTACGGCAAAGAAGTATCCACCGCGCTGCCCATATGCGTGTTGGCGAACTGCACATGCCTTGGAAATATTTTTTTTATTTCTCAGACAGTCAGACTTCCTCATGATGTTTTTCTTCACCGCCGAGCAAAGGTAAATCAGCACTTAAAATTGTAATCAATAATTTCATTGATGCCGGCGGGGATCGAACCCGGTGTGCTAGCGTACTGTGAAATTTAACGCGAGAGCTAACAATCTGAGCTACCAGGGCTCTCTCATCGTCGAAATGAATACTTAACTTAGTTAATTTACAGCCTTTTTTCGCCCCACACCTGGGCAAAGGCAAAGAAGTATCCGTCGCGCTGCCAAAATGCGTGTTGGCGAACTTCACATGTCTTCGAAATATTTTTTTTCTTATTTCACAGACGTGCAGGTTTCCTCACAATGTCTTTCTTCACCGCCGAGCACGTTGGTAGATCAGCACTTAAAATTGTAAAATTGCAATTAACAATTTCATTATTGCTAGCGGGGATCGAACCCGGCTTGCTAGCGTACTATGAAATTTACAGCGAGAGCTAGCCATCTGAGCTACCACGGCTCTTCCGAGCCACCACGGCTCTCATCGTTGAAATGAATACACCTCTTTATTTTGTATGTTTTTTTTTCTATAGGATAGGGTGAAAAACGAGCACGCAGTCCACCTGTGGTGGTTTCTGCGGCCCATAGACCTCTACATCTATTCTCGATTACAAATCAAAATGCAAAAATGCGTGTCACCCGTGATGACTAAGATGGAACGCCTCGTTTCCAGCAAAAAGGCTTTCCGGTTCTCTACACTCACCATACGAAACACAGAAGCATTAAGCTATTATTTCACGCTGGTATTCTGTGAGAGCGTGGTCCTTCCCCGGTCGAGCCGGCCTATTCGTGCTACAACTATACTACTAATATAACTGCAGCATGGCTCTGCCACGTACAAAAAATGTTTTAATGAACTAGTACATGATGCACAAAAAAGTGCAGAATCGAACTTTAATTGTGGCATATTTTTGTATAATGCATAAGAAGTGGGTAAAAATATTATTTATGTATACTTCTAATAAAAATATACATAAATAATATTTTTTTTTATTTCAGAAAGAGATTTATTTATTTTAAATTTTATTATTTCGTAGCTATTGTTTGTGTTAAAGGAAATATGTTACCGTTTGGAGAAATAATGTTATTGGTTATTGGAAATGTAACATAACCGCTGCGCACATCGCGGCGCCTCTGTCACTCGATACATATTATGGTGCATTGGGTATTGTTTACAAAAAACGTTATTTATAACTCTACACATAAATAATATTTTTTTTTTATTTCAGAAAGAGATATATTTATTTTAAATTTTATTATTTCGTAGCTATTGTTTGTGTTAAAGGAAATATGTTACCGTTTGGAGAAATAATGTTATTGGTTATTGGAAATGTAACATAACCGCTGCGCACCTCGCGGCGCCTCTGTCACTCGATACATATTATGGTGCATTGGGTATTGTTTACAAAAAACGTTATTTATAACTCTACACATAAATAATATTTTTTTTTTATTTCAGAAAGAGATATATTTATTTTAAATTTTATTATTTCGTAGCTATTGTTTGTGTTAAAGGAAATATGTTACCGTTTGGAGAAATAATGTTATTGGTTATTGGAAATGTAACATAACCGCTGCGCACCTCGCGGCGCCTCTGTCACTCGATACATATTATGGTACATTGGGTATTGTTTACAAAAAACGTTATTTATAACTCTACATCAGCGGGAGTGACTCTTGAGTGGTTTTATGGTTTTTAAAGGAATTAATGAATCTTTATTTCTGTACAAGTGCTGTTAAAGTTTGTTTGCTCAAATAAAGTAATTAATTTTTCAATAAATATGGCAC